CACTCTTTCATTTTGTTGGATGATGTGCAGGGCTGGGTATATTTTCTTTCCTGAAGCTTGACAATTTCATTGTTGCAGCTATTTCAAATATTCCCTAATTGTTGTCTTTCCATTTGCCCACATGTTTAATAGCAGATCAGGAGAGGTGACCTGGAAATCAGATGATATGGCTGCACTGACATTTTCAGATGGATCTCTGCCTTTGTGTTTTATCTATGAAGGATTGTGCACAGAATAGAAACTATTACCTCCCTTACTGGGATCAGATGTTTTAAGGTCAGCGTTACTGGGTCTTTTCTAAGAGATTTGAATATTAGATGGCAGATGAGTGACAATTAAAGGACATTTAACATTCATGTTGTGGTGGTCTGGCCATATTTTAATTGAAACAATGACTGTTTTTGTCTTTTAAGTCAGTGGTTAAGCTGTTTACCACACAAGCAAAGACACACAAACCACAAAAAGCCCTGAATAGAAGAAATTTGTTGTGTAAAATGTCATTTCTCTATCACCCTTTATAAAAATTAAGCGACTGCACAGGGTTTTGTTAATAAATATTTATTCTTCTTACAAACAACATTAGTCATGATTCTGTGCAGATGGCAGATGTTTCCTAACAGATGTGCGACACTGTCATTCTCAAGGGCGTTTTGCAGCTTATTTAACTGAGTGATTAATTTCTGAATCAGTGTTTTCTCTCCATTATTTGCCATGTGGTCCTGCATGAGTGCACTGGTGGACAGACTGTGGCATACCGGGAGATGCATTTCATAATTTTTAGCCTCTAGTTTCTGAAAGCAAACACTGGTACTGGTGTGTAGGGATCAGGCCAAATGGGCTCCACTTCCTCTTGCTCTCTCTACAGTGGTGCTGCTGCTGTATCCATAAAGGTGTTTGGAGGATGGCTGGTGACTTGTTACTGAAACTTGAACAAGGGCAGATCTGATGAGCAGACCTCAGGATTTATCCATTCATCTGCCACTGCAAAAAAAACACTTCACTCTTTTTGTTAAAGAATTATTTAGTGTGGTGATTAGTGTTAAAATGTTATTTACTGTAGACCAAGAATTCAACTTGTTTCAGAAGAGAAAAAAGTTTAATTGTTCTGTTGGAAAAATCTTCTCCTTTCCATTAAAATACATGTGGCTTCTTGATGACATTTTCAAGTTAATGTCAAGTCTCTTTTTAGATGATACAGTACATGCACATTTAAACTGTAGGCTACATTTAGTTGGACACTGTTATATAGATGGCATACATTAGCTGGATCAAGTTTTTTTCTGTGTTTTATATCATTGTAGATTATATATTGTAGGGTGTCTGCATGCATGAGTACCGGATTGCTTCTTACCTTTTCCCCATCCTGTGTGTAACCTTACCTGCGAGTTCGTCCTTTGGGGAGAGTTATAGAGGTGAGTTTTCCTTCTGGTAACCATGTAGTGGGGCGAAGTGGCACCTCATTCTCTGGTGCCAAAGCCGAACGCACCTGAGGCCATGAAGACCCACAAAACAGCACCAAAGCTGCACCAAGACACCAGGACTGGGACATTAGTGCCATCACTGATTCTTGCCCTCTGTCTTCTTCTGCCTTTGACTTTCCCCAGTCACCCAGTCTTGGATATCTCCCAGGCTCTAAAAATGCATGGTGAAAAGGTCAAGAACATCAACCAGAGCCCATCACACAGACACACACATGCACAGTAAGGCACTCTAACACATTTTAAATTTCTACTGTACCATTCACATAGGCACTAAAGAGCTCGAGCGGCTGATGATTCATTGATATGACGAAACATCCTGTCCTATTCAGACAGAATTATTCATGCAGGGGGAAAGAAATTGCCATGCTATATTACATTGGGATGTGTGTGTAGCACAGCTTGACACTCACTATTAAAAAATCCCCCAATGCACCACTTTTCAGCATGAAGTGGGTTGCTAATATCACTCTTAATTCAATGCATTTACATCAGCATTTCTATTTTTAGTTGAGGAGTTCAAATGGGTCTGTTCTCCAAACATCTTTCGTTATGGTATTAGTGCTCTTTTATTAGGAGAAAGTGACACCATACTGATGTGGAGAGATGTGCACAGATACCTGAAGGTGCTCTTAGACAGTCAAATCTAATCAGCATAGACAAATGCAATGCCTAACAAGATGGACTTGTATCAGACTTTTCTGTATCTCTCTTTCATCCCGTCTTTTATTTCTTTAAAGAAATTTGTACATAGGTGTGTGACTGTATGTGTGGTTGTGATTTTGTGAGGGTAGATAGGATGATTACAGGTTTCAGTGCCCCCCCCAGAGAAAACACATTCATTCAAAGTCACACAGTCTTCACAGACAGATTCCCCGCCTTCCTCTAACAAGGTGTATTATGTCAGTGCTGTGCCCTGTAGATCAGATGACAATCACAGTGAAACTATGGAGGCGGATACAGAAGGTACATCTGAGTCTTTGAGCCCCGGGACACTCTGAGATGCAAACTCACAAACCGTCACACAGCTACAAAGTCACACAGAGGCGCCTGCTCATTATCCTTCCTTAGAGAGACAGGAGTGAACAACCCATAAAGCTTTAACTGAAAGACATAAGAGGAGGATGTTGAATCCCAGAGTAATTAGAGGGAAGGAGACAGAGAGAAGAAAACAGGAGAAAGAGTGACTGGAAAAGTTAGGGTTGGAAAAAACATCATTGCCATACAATAAGATTGCAATGAATTTGTTTTGATATTTTAGCCAAACACATGAAGCAATAAGATTGCTATGAATTTGTTTTGATGTTTTAGCCAAACACATGAAGCTGATTGGTGTTTACTTTAGTCTCCGTGTCGAATGAGTTCTAATGTGTCACATATTACCAGACGGCTGCACAGCCTCACAGCCCCTCTCACACTCCCCCTCATTCAATCTTGATAAAGATGAAGGCACAAAAAATGCTTGGCGGGCTTGTTTCATCAAAACGCACCCACTGATAAAATATGCATACGTCTCCTCAGCAAATATGGCCAATTGAATTTTCATAAGGAAAAAAGGCTGGGTCCTACAGCGAGAGGGAGCTTAGTGAACTTAACTACCACCATCTATAAATAAATACACACTCCCCTTTAAACACAGGAGCTCGTGACTTTGATGGTTGTTCAGCTGTTTTTTCTTTTAGATTTGTTTCTTATGTCCATTATATTTATCCCAGGCTGTCAATTGACTGTATTTATTCTGGAGAGTGTGTGGGTTTTAAGTAAAGACACTTCAGCCCTGCTCTGCTTTTTCTCTCTCTGTCTTTTTCTGTCTGTTTTTCATTTCATTTGATGATCCCCTTATTTCGAAGTTGATGCAGACTCACTTTCAGAGGTACAGATTGAGTGCTATGCCCTATCTGTCTGCACATTGTCTTAGCTATCTTCTATCTCCCTGTGCATTGGCAGGACCATCTGCCTTCCGTTATCGGAGGGTAGGGACAGATTAAATGGCATGGTGTGGTCCCTGCAGGATCCGTTGTCCCCCCAAACTACTGTGAGCAAAAGACTGGCCTATGGTTCATAGTGGGGGCTGAGGAGATGATGACGGGGTAACATGCAATGACCATGGATTTTGATAGAATTTTATAGCTGATTTTCTTCCACACTGCATGTACATTCACATATATTAAGCTTTCTACTTACTCTCATTGTCCCCTTGAACTAGCATCTCATATTCTTTCTCTCTCGCACACTTTCCTACAGTATCATTCCCTTTCTTGACACATACTTTAATTGTGCTCATTTTGTGATCACTGTCTCACTCCACAGTCATACTTTTGTGTCATATAACAACAGAGAAAAGACAGATATAGTGATCAATAAATTACACGAATAACAGATTAACACAGCCTTTAAACATGCAAAATGTGATGCTGTCAAGATGAAAAGCAACCTGCAACAAATGAAAAGTGCCCTGTATCTGTCTCCACTTTTCAAAAACCCCCCAGAGACACACTCTCAATCAAAAGGAGCTGATCTAAAGAAAGAAGTTGCTGACTTACACATCCAGTTGAAATTTGAGATGCTGATGCACTCACACATTCACACACACATTCACACATGCTCTGCAAGGACAACAACATGCAAACATGTATCCCCCCTTACCTTCTCTCAGTGCACACTCTCCCTCTCCGGCACAGGGAGTGAGGGATGGGATCAAATGAGAGAGGGAGTGAGGATGGAGGAGGAGGAGAAGGGATGAGATCCGGTTGCGAGGAGAGGAGGAGCGACAGCAGGTTGTTGTTGGGTGTTCCACTGACTCCCTCTCTCATGGGGTGCTGCTCGCTCCCTACTCAAGGTGATGTTTCTTCAGAGCAAAGGTGTCCCTTCAGGGCTGTCCCAGCTCCTATGTGCCCTGGTGTGGTGCAAGGCTCCCAAGTATTCTCCTCACTCTTTCTCTTTATTTCTCAGTCCTTCACACGTGGAGGCTTGTCCTGCTAAACACTGTGTCAATGTCATCCGGTCAATGAAGCCTCTATCCCCTTCTTCTGCTTTTCCACCTCCAGTTCTTTTCACTTGTTCCTTCTGTTTACCTCCTCTGGTAGTGCACAGAGCTCACTTGCAATTCAAATGGGCTCATGTGTGATTGTGTGTGTTTGTATATCTGTACGTGCAATCTGAGAGTGAGGGAGCGAGTGGGTGAGTGCGAGGGGGCTGATGGTGAGGTCGCTGAATGGGGGTGGTGATGAGGAGAGGGAGAGAGAAACAGGGTGAGTATGTGTATGTGTTGTCAGGAAGAGCATTAGGGAATGGGGAGGTGCTGAAAAAGTTAAATACATGAACCATTCTAAGGCTAGTTTGATAACATCTATATCAGAGGACTTCATGTTGGAGGTTACACTGTCTTTGTGTCCTTATCGCTAGTTCATTCATGTGCTTAGACTGTCTCTAAAGGAACATCTCATCATCCTTATGCTAGTCAGAGCTCATATATAGGTTTTAAATATCATTTACCATTTCAAATTACACTATGTGTGCAGTTTCAGCCATTAAATTGGGATAAGTGATTTACTGGATCACTGTTTCACTGGATTTTAAGGTGTTGTTTGGATTTAAATTCAGAAAATATGACAGTAGTTTTGAATGTGAGGCTCACTTTGACTTCACGCTTCAAAGGAAAAAACCATACATAATGAATTGAGTAGCAAATAAATAACTGCACATTTTTACTGGTATTACCATCTCAGTTACTGGACAGGTTAGAAAATAAAATGTCTGCTACTCCATCCCTTTAAGCAGTTAAATTCTTATGTACAAATCAGCTTCTTAATATCTAATGCTAGACTAATTGAACACATTCTTGCTATTTAAAGGAATACATTAGTTTTCTCATCTAAGCATTTATAGCCTTGGTTTCAGTCTTGCTGAAGTTAGAGAAAATTGTTGCGTTTAGGACAGCCATACTGAAGGCTTTATGTCCTGCATCAATAGGTCAAGAGTAGCTCTTGGAGGGCTGGCATTCATATCAGTGGCTCTCCAACCACACCCAGCCCTCTCATGTCCACACAGCAGTGGGCCTCATGTACTGCGCTCTCTCTCCTGAGCTCTTTAATCAATATCATCAGGAAAATGAAGGAGGCCTGCCACATTGTGTACTAACTCTCTCTTTTCCATTCTGTGATGGGGCCTTTTTTCACTCATTCACTGGGTACTTCAGTGTAGAGCTATTGAGGTTGCTCTGAATGGGACCCACTCCACCCAGAGGGAATATTGTCTGAGCACAGGCTAAAATCTTAGAGACCTTCTTTCTCAGTCTGCCCGTCTCTGCCTGCAGCATCACTTCAAAGAGGAGTAAAAAAATGTGGCACATGAGCGCTATTAATAAATATATCACTTCAGTGGCCACAACTTTTTTTCACTGAAGACCATTTGTTCTTTCTTTAAAAGCCGCCAGCCGTCCTCTCTGTATCACTCTCCATTAGGTGGCCCACTTCACAGTCTCTAAGAAGTTCTGAAAGTTGACAGTCTGACAGAGCACGACACGACAGCTGCTCTTGGAGATTGGATGGTGATTAACCTTAGAGGGATTACAACACACGTACAACTTTGTGTATGAGTTGCACTACAACAACTCTTATGCTATTTTTGGAAAATTTTGATTTAAGAATCATGTTGTTGTCTGTTTTCATACTTTAGACATCTGTTGGACATTTGTCAGACCAGAAACTGATGCACAGGCCTGAGTGACACACACTCACAAGCTCTAACAAACACATCCTCTCTCTGTTTCAGCGCCATCGTGACTGGCCTGAATATTTCTTTTGATCCCACAGCCCCCATCCCCTTGTGCTGCAATTTAATAATTTATTGACACCCAGTCACCGGACAAACTCCATCTGCAGAGAAAGCGACAGAAAGCGAAAGTAAAAATTTTATTTGGCCTAATTGCATGAAAAGAAACTGCAAAACTGGCCTTTTCATCTATTATTGATGTGTGCTTACAAGCCATACATAATGCAGAGGGTCATGTTTATGACAACCATGTATTAAATATTATGTTCTGAGGGTCGGGGAGAGGGTTGGGGGAGGCTCGGGCTGCCTGCTTTCAGTGCCACAGTTAGTTGGCTGTTGTACTAAGTACTAGTTTACAAAGACACGGCGTGGTAAAAACAAAGCAAGACACAGGGATTGACGGTAAGAGAAAGTGATAGCGAGAGACAGACAGAGAGAGAGAAGATGAAATGGGGGACACGAGGGGGAGAGGGTGTGCTAGCTGACAACGGGTTAACAGGAATCTTTATTTTTAACAACGTATCATCACCAGCCTCCCATCTGCTCTTGTGCTGTCAGAGACTCTTGGGAGTTTGTGTGTAAATGTGTATGATGGAGAAAGAGAGAGAGAGAGAGAGATGCAAGCAAGCCATCACAGATAAGATCAGTGATCAGCACCCAAAGGAGAAGGAGGAGGAAGGGAGAGGACAAGGTTAGAAAGGTGGGTGGCAAAGAGATATCTCCCCTAATATCCAAATGGGGTGTGACAGAGGGGTAAAGACAGTAGGAGTGGAGGTGAACGGCACATGAGTGCGGGCGTGTGTGACGGGAAGGTAAAGTAGGATTAGGTGGCTCAGTCTACAACTGCCCTCTCTGTGTTTGGATGGGGGGATGGAAGAAGGAGATGGTGGTCCAGAGGAAATGAGAGAGAATATATTAGCACAGAAGAGGGGGGGTATGAAAACACACAAAGAAAGAACAGCGGTCAGGAGGAGGAGGAGGAGGAGGAGGTGTGTAGGCTATGTTGGACCTCCAGGGGTGGCCCCAACAACTCATTTTACTGTTTATTTATTTACCCCCCCAGATAAAGGGACTAGTCCTTTGGCAGGAAGGGAGATGTCTATTGATGGAGGTAGTGGTGCGAAGGACTTACAGGACCAACAGCTAGCTGTTCCGTAGGTCACTCATCATTAGCAAATACAGTTTCATCTCAAGTCAGATCAGCTCATCTCTTTGCTTTTGTTCTTTCTTCATGCCTGTTTTCCTTTTTCTCCCAGTTTAGACCTGTTTTTCACTCCATACACCAAGACAGAATGCAGCCCTCCAGTGATTCACCCCACTTTGTCAAAAGGTTTGAGTAAAAATCTGATGGAATGAAAACATCTTTTTTTGATATTTATGATGCTGCACTTTCTTTTTACACAACATGTAGAGCCAGCAGTCCACAGTTCTTGTTTGTCTGAGTCTGCATCTCATACTGAATACTGAATTTTCTCTCCCTCTCCTCTTCATCTTCTTCTTTTCCATTGTCCTTCTTTCTCCCGTCTCATCCTTCAGGCATGGTAAATTTGAAGGCTAATTAGTCCAGAGAAACCAGTCATACCAACAAACCCACCCCAGGCCACACACACACACATCCTGCTATTGATCTTGTAGTACCAACTCAAATAACCACAACCACACAGAAACTCATGCACAAAACAGAGGCAAACAAACAAAATGCACCAACAGTTTTTAGAGCAGCTTGTATTATATGCATGCGTACATACAGAAAGTCAGCAAGACTACATTATGGAAGTTTTTTAAAACCGTGACAAAGGTCAAGTGTTTCCTGCTTTGAGAAGTTATTTGCAGCGCTGGCTGTAAGGGAAATGTTTTGCAGCATCAAAACCTTTTCTTTTGCATTTCCTCCCGCTTCCTCAGCCATCCCTTCCCCCCCTCACTCTCTGTTCTCAGTCTTTCCCTCATTTCTGATCCATTTTATATGCATTACTCCATTACTCTCAACTCCCATTTACAGTGCATTACCTCCTCCCATCCTTCACAGACACTTTGCACTTCTCTCTTCTTCTTTCAGTCACTCTGCTTAAGTCTTTCCCTCCCTCGCTCTCCTCCAGTGCATTATGACACTTTGCTCTACTTCTTCCCTTCACCCACTTTATTATCTCCTTGTCTGTTCTCTGGTCACGTCATCTCATACTAAGCACTTCTTTTTTTCTTTATCTTTATTTCCCATCTAGTTTGTCATTCCCTGTACACCAGGCTGTCTCTCTGCACTGCCGTCTTCCATCACTTTAATTAGTTATTCAAAGCATGCCATGCAATTTGGTACTAGATACTGGCTATTGTCTTTGCTCTTTTACAACATAAATGTTCAAATGTCAGTGAATGTAATGAGCAGGGCTGGCAGTCAGGCCATCCAGTTGTGTATTTGTCCCATTTGAGCACACACATGAATGCACAGACAACCAGTAAACTTTCAGATTTGATGATGAAATAAATCATTGTATTACACGCTGCAATACAGAGTGAGATGAGTGACTGGTCAGATGAGTGAACAGTGTGTGTGTGTGTGTGTGTGTGTATGCCTTCATTTAGTTCTTTACAATTCAAAGGAGACGCAAGAGTTCACGGAAGTGTTATCTCTTTGGTTGTAGGACACAGCTTGCGGGAACCCATCCTCATTGCTGTGGATAAAACAAAAAAAAAACTGGTTTGTTTTGGAATGGCCTTTGAAAAATTAAAAGTACAGTAGACAAGAATATTCTAAAAACTCTGAGGGCTTTTGAGTACAATGGAACCAAGTGGATTCACTGTAAGTAATCTCTAACAGTTGTCAGCTTCTGTCTGTGACTATGTGAAATTACAGCAACACCGGACAAAGGTTTTGACTAACACATGAAATGGTAGAACCAGGTCTCAGAGCGATCCACTAGACAGGTTGTCCACTCTCGCAGGGTCACCTTCCTGTTCCTGTTATAGTCACATGACCTGAAAACACACACAGTTAAATATATAGTGATCTCACAACATGAAACCGGCATAAAAATGAAGCAATTAGAGAAACACATGCATTTATTCATCCTCCAAAAATCTCATGCAAATGACATGCTTTTATATATACACAGACAGTCAGATGGTATAAAGACATAGAACGGTATGAAAAGTTATGATATAAAAACATAGAACCAACTGCACTGGGGCACTTCAGCATCCACTGGCTTGCAGTTCACCCTGCAGCAGGGTACTTCCTCAGTTTGTGTTAATCCACAGGCAGCGGGAGACACAGTGGGTAATAAACATTATCATTGCGAGGAATGGCTTGACATTGACACAGCCAGCCCTACTCCCACAAAACCTGTCATTTCAGACTGGCAGATAAATGGGGGGTTGGGTTTGAGTAGAGATAGTGGAGAAAGGGGGAGAGATGGAAGGATGAAAGAATGACAGAAAAGTGAAAACAAAGGAGGGATTGACAGAGAAGGAGGATGCATCTATTTGAAAGAGAGATGAAAGGGACTTAGGAAGCATAGAAGGGGAGACAAAGTGCTACAACATGGAGGAGGAGTATGATGATGAGAGATGGTGTGGCCATGAGATTGGAGGCCACAGGAGCAAGGACTGGCATGGAGGATGAATGGGTAGATGGCGTGCAGAGAGAACAGCATGGTGGGAGGTGCAACTTGGTTACAGCGTGGGGGCGAAATGCATCGCAGTGTGACATTTTTAACCCTTGCTGTTTCAGTAATTAGCTGAAAAATAACATATTGCAAGAGACAGAAGGTTCACATTATGAACCTTTGTGTGACATGAGGGGATGGTGATGTGAACATGATGAGCAACAGTGGCCATACCATACTGGCCACTCAGCCACCTTATGGTATGTTACCTCTCATCAATTCATCCATGTAATCATAAATTTCTCAAATGCAATTACATGCAAAGTGAATCAGGGGCCTCTAGGTAATATATGTGTGTAATATACATTTTATGTACTTCTGAATTTTTTTTATTAAAAACAAGCCAGTACTAGATTAATTCATATTAGATTAAACTGAACAAATATTCAGGTAATTTGTTTCTGTTATTTGATCTCTGAGGCAGCCCTGCATGGAGCATTAGCTGCTTCTGGTGGGACTGACTGAAAGAAAGGTGTAGCACAGTGCTCCAGTGGCATCCTCTTGTAATGCAGCTTCCTCAGGTCCCTGCGGCTCAATTTGCCGTCTTTATTCTTGTCCAGTAAGGTAAATCTTTGCTATAAAAACATAGGAGGGAGAGATTAAAATAATATTAATTTTAACAATAATAATGCTGGAAAACAAGCTAAATGTTCAGCGTATCATTGTTTGCACCATTTCTTTAATTTCACAATAAACTAAATAAACTTGTTTGGTCTGTCATTTGTTCCACTGCTTTGGTCCATAATGAAATATCTTAACAACTATTGGATGAATTTCCATGAAATTTTGTACATCCAAGTTCCCCATGAATAATAATGACATTGGTGTATTATCTGATTTTTTTCATCCAGCATCATTGTCAGGTCAACGTTTTCACTTCTTTAGTGAAATGTCTTAATATCTACATACAACATGGAGTGTTGCAAAGTATTCCTGGTTTCCAGATGATATCTCCTAATGAATGGACTGTTACGTGCAAAACTAATGACATTATGACGTCACATCAAAATAATGCAAGACTTTTCTTTTAATTCATTTGAGGCCATGGAGATATAAAGTTATTCCGCTCTTCACCATCTTAGTGAATAATTTAGTGATTATTGACCAAATCCTATTTATAAATGATGCTCTTGAAAGCCCCTGTCTCATTCTGTGGATGACCACACCACAAGCAACACAAGAACTTGCCACTTGCAGTAGGTTGTTAATATTGATTTCCGTCCCGACAATCCATGAAGCACAGTTTGTGTACTGGCACAATGATGGTGTCTGGTGTCAGAAACAACTTCATGTGCAGTGTTCAGTTACTCTGGCAGTGAAAGTGATCCTTTGGTATGTTTTCTTCTGGCTACAGTTTCTTCAGCATTAGGGCCTACATTTTGTTGTGGTTATTGATTTCATATGCATCCTCATCAGCTGAGGTCATTGTAGACCATAAATTATGTTTACTGCACCACGATGAGTTTAGGCTTAAACGCTCAGCTACCTGTGCCAGTTGTGTCCTCTGGGCATGGCTAAGGCAGCTCTGGGCCAGGGCAGCAGGTGCATAGGACTCCCCCATTCGACTCACAAGCAGAAACCAGTCCAGGAGACGATATGGAAATTGGCCTAATTCCTCTTCAGTGCATTTGGCCTTTTGGACTAATCAAGAGGAATAACAGATTTGGAAGGCTGCAGTGCACAGTGGGAATTGTGTCTAATTCTGTGTGTGTTTACCCAGACAGGGTCCTGTATGAGCCAGTCCGGTGTGGCGTTTCTTTCTGCAGGCTTCTTTATGCAGCAAACACTCATTCCCATAGGTCTTTCCTAGAACGCTGCACACTGGCGCCCTCTGCCTGATTACGAGCCAGTGCCCACATGAAAACATTTTGTTAGTTTTCTTTGAGTTTACAAATCCAAATACTGTGAATAATGAATTTTAGATAAAGAAAAGAATACATGTGTCAAAATGAGACAAATATCAAAATCACAAATGGACTGTTGGTGGGTCCAGAGGTGTTTACCATGGACAGGACTGAGGACAAACACACTTTGGGACAAGGACTCCATTTTCCTGAACTACTTGGCACCAAGATCCCACTGGACTATAGCATTTTAGCAGCTCACAAAGCTTTTCTGAAACACAAAGAAACAAATTTCTTACTATATTGTTTTTCTATTTTCTGGTTTTATATCTGTGTTGTCCTTGTTCTCATGACCACTTAATCACAGGCCTGGACTGATTAAAGGTGTTTTGGTCATAAAAATGCATCATAATGGTCTAGTTAAGATAATGAAATGCCATGGAGTGATGGATGAAAAACATTAGAAGATGAAAAGGTAGACGTAAATGAATGATGGCAAGACAATGAATTTGATAACATCTGGATTTTTAGTCATTGCTTTACATTCAGTTCTCAGTCCAAAACAGCATGTTGTGCACTTACATGACCCAAAATGGCAAAACAGTAAGAGGTAGATCTTTGAACCAATTATTAGTCAAATATTCAAGAGAATCTGCTGTTTGATGGTTTTCAGTGCATTTAACTTGAATTGTTACTGACTCAGACTACATACAATGTGTTTTTCATCATTTGTTGTGGAAAAATGTTTTTGCTGCCCATGAAGCTTGTTTTAATCTAGGACTGGAATGAGAGCAAATACCCATAAACAGAACTGATCCTGTCTATATATGATAGATAACTGACATGCAGTCAACAAACGTTATTCCTTCTCTGTAGATTAAAATCTTACCTGGCTCTACTCTGCCAATATATGGTCTCAGGCTCTCCTCAGCTTGCCTCCGTCTGCGCTGGGCTCTGCCTCCCTGACCCACACACACACACATACATGAGCACCGTTTTCTGAACGCTCTCTCTATAGTTTGGATCATAAACCAAAGTTATGTGTTCCCACATGACAATAATTTCTGTTTTCATCACTGGAATTAAGCAGGTGAGGATGTTTATGATCAAATTATTATTATTGTTATTACCCAGGTCATCACAAATAGCCAACTTTATGATGTCAGTGTACTGTAAATAATTTAAACAACATAGCATGGAACCACATTGAAAATGGTATGCATTCTATGTCACATCCATTCTCCCTTCATACGCATGATTCCAAACTTATATTTCCAGAAACTTTGTAGTTGGTGCCAGGACCACATCTGCCTCCAAAATCTTCCCAGATCTAATGGGAAACAGGCGCAATGCTGACCTGGAATACTGGAGGAATTATGCTTCAGCATGTATCACAAATTAATCCTGATCATTATAGCAGAACAGGTGAAGAGAGATTGTGTTATACAAAAAATATTCCACTTGATTCATTTATTAACAATGGCAACCTTGGTCATGAAATATTCTTAATTTCAAAGTTTGTGCCCGACCAGTTTGCATTTTAAATACATATATCATATCTGCATTCAAATACAGAAGCCACACACAAAGTTCGACTCACCATGGCTGTATGAGTGTAAAGACTCAGGAGCAGAAACAGGCCAAAGGTCAAGCTCAGGTTCATGGTAGAGTATTCCAATGTACTACAAGAACAAAATGACAAATTTTCCTGCAAGAGGAAAATACTAGACTAAATCACTTTGACCTTGCAAACATACAGTAGTTGTAATTAAACCTCAGAACAAGAGACTCTGTATAAGACACTAGAAAAATACCATATATATCTGTATCTTTTTTCCAGCAGCATCATCCTTGTAATTATGTTTGAAGTAAGATCTGAAAAATAAATGTCATTGAATGGCTATCAATGTACTGAGGTCATGCTTTGTTAGTAGATGCATTTTTCTCATTCCTCTTCCTTCTTTCTTCTCTGGCATCATTTACCAACTATTGCTCTATTTCCAGTCGTTCAGATAATGTAGCAGGAAACAACGCAGCACTTTGAGTCTCAAGAAAAACAATACTCCATCACAGAGGAAACTCTGGGTTGAATTACATGGAAAGGACATTCAGCTTTTGGTTGAGGAAGTTATTAGTGAGTCATTCTCTATCCCCCTCTGACTGCTTCAAAAACATCTTACCAGGATCTCTGTCACTCCTACCGTCTGTTCTTATTCCCTTGTTAGTGTTCTCCTTCGTTTCCTTGTTGCCAGATACCTTTGTCTCTCTGTCTTACCAGCTCCTGTGAGTGTACATTCTTTTTAAAACACTCTTCAGCAGAGTTTATTTTTTCTTTTCATTTGATCCATCTATTTTTACATTCTTGCCTTATCTAACCCCTCCTCTCCGCTTTCCCCAGTCTGTCTGACTCTCTTCCCTTCACATTAGCTCCCTGTTGATAGCAGCTGAGTGCACAGGTATCTGCGCTCTGCAGTTGAACGTTGGTGAAATGGCTACAGGAGAGCTGAACTTATTGAGAGGGAGCAAAAGAGAAAGAGAGATCTAGGCTTTTTTTTTGGAAACTGGGGTGTGTTTCACTTAATTTGGCACAAAAACATATACAAGTCAGAGAAAACCTATGGTCATACTTTTTCTCATCAGATTTCTTTGTCTCTCACAGACACAGATACAGCAGAAAGGTCATCCACTGTCAAAGTGCACGGACAAGGAAAAAACATAAAGTCCAGCAACTTCTGAGTAACTTTAATGAGAAGGCCAACGTGTTTTGGTAGAACCTACCTTCATCCTGAAATGAGTTGGTTTTCCCATTAAATCTGCTCAGAACACTTCAAGTGTTGCTGGACTTTTTGTTTTATACACACATACACACACACACACACAAAGGTAAAAGAGAAGGAATATGTGTAGAGGAACTAAGACATCTCTGAAAACATGAGCTGCCAAAGGCAATAACATGGAAAAGACCGCCCTCTACTGGTTGTGATGGTCAATAACAGTCGGACTGCATGGTGGTACAAATTCTGTTTGTCTATGGCTAGAATCACAACATGTGTTTTAAACCAGTCAAGCTACCTTTAAGCCTGTTTTTATTTTTCCTTGAATACCACAACGGCGACACATTTGGTTTTAAAGTTGATTTCTGACTCATTTTCCTGTTAAAATATATAATGAACAAGCATTTTCCTGAGCAAACTGCTCTCGCTGCACAGTAGAAACATTAGGCTGAATATTAAATTGAGGAGAAAACACACATGAATTAGTAAAACATGCACGTTAATTAAAGAATCAGGCTATATTCTTACTATTTTGTTCTGAGCTGTGCACGCTCCTTTAACTTCCCACTGAGGGCTGCAGTACAAGCTGAAGGACGCAAGACATGGAAACTAATAAAAACGAATTCAATTGACACATTTCATACGTGTAATGCCCCTAAACAGCCCCAGAATACAAACAAACAGCGTGCAGTGGCAGCCTTTGAGACCCAGCTGACATCTCCACGCTCCGCCCTGCAGGAATCAGGAGGAGGATGTCGGAATGACCAGCTGCTTTGGGAAGTCATCCTGTACCGTGTGGCCGCCTGTTCTGCTTCTTTTATTTTGTTTACGCCGCTTTATGAGCCTTGTGTTTTTTAGTTGATAATGCTCGGTACCATCCGTTGGTCGCTGTTGACAGTGGAACTATGGGCTCGATGATAACTTGCAGAAGCTTCGGCCTTTTTTTTTTTTTTTTTTTTAGTAAAACTAGTGGAAAAGGCAGGAGCTGTTTATTGTCCAGTTAACTGGTCTTGAACTGCATAAAGCTCAGATCTGTCCATTGAACTTGTGTAGTCACTTCTTGTTGGCTTCAGTTTCACCAGTGTATCTGTGTCAAAAGTGTGTTTTATACCCAAAAGTGAAATACTGTCCCAGCATCCTGTTATTGACAAGACAACGAACAAATGGACCCGATCCATCGTTGAGGCTATAAATATGCTTTTAACGGCATAATTCAGGTAGGTGCAGCCAATGTACATCAGATTATAAAAGTTCTGATATGATGTGAAAACAAACTGTTATTGCCTGTAATAAATCTCCCTGTCTGGGTATGTGTGCTGCAGAAAACGGTAGCCACTCATTTAGACAGTATACTGTCAGTATAATGAAGACAAAGGCCTTTTAATGTGGTTGTCCTCTTTGCTGCCCACTGGCAGAAGAGGCCATGTTTTCAAAGGCACACCATCACCATCGCCCCCCTCCATGACAGTACCATGATAGCCAGGCCTTATTTTAATAAGTAGAAAATGTTACTAATTAGATTCTATAATATAAATGGTGTGCATTGATTTCAAAACTTATGTAAATTGGACAGTCAACTGCAGCACAGTATTTTTTGAGACAGTGAGATGTGGGCTCCTCATGTGCATTTCTGGATTCTAGGGTAACTAAAGATGACTGTTCCTGCTTTACTCTTGTCATGAAGTTAGATGCAGCAGATGGAAGTTCAGTTGGTTTATACTCCAGGCAGTACAGCTTCACATATTCACGCCTCATTACTCCTCGTGTGTGTGTGTGTGTGTGTGTGTGCCATGTTAGGCTGTGATCTATTATAGCCCAGACAGTGTAAAGCACCATGGTATCAACAGGCCAGGACACATTAGTATAAGGCGTGATTATCTGAGATGGATGCTCTTCTGGTGTTTCAATGTTTGGGTGGGGTTGCATTTACACACACGCACATATGGACATTTATGTGTGTGTTTCTCATGCACCTGTTGGCAAGAGTCCTGGAGCGCCACTTTGGTTGAGGGTGTGTTTACTGTCTGATTCTTCCCCAGAAACAGCTGAGTGTCTCCACTGTCCACCTGCTGACCCTAAACTGCAGTTTAACATGGGAGGGTTTTTCCAGATGGTGTGTGTCTGCTGTCTGTGTTTCTTCTTCACTGTTTGTGTTCTTTTTAATCTAGCTCTGCGTGAAGACACACATTATACACACCAGCCTGTGCATAGTAGTCATTCCAAGACACTGTAGTGCCCAACAAGGCCAAACTTGAACAGATAAGATGATAAAGGGAGTGTCTACAGCACAGAGAAGTGTAGAATTATTTGTTTGACAATGCCAGACATCACAGACAAGGTGAGTGTTAAACAGCTTTCCAGACTCTCAGACATGCATCAATTACTTTTTCCACTATGGATGTTACTGTATATTTTTGCATCTTATTAATCTTATTCCTGGAACAAAACAGACATATCTCACTTGGAATCTTGTTCTCTGTTTTTTCTTTGTTTGCACATGCTCCTCCTTGCTCACTATACAGTACTTCCAAATCAGCGAGGGCTTTACTGAAAATACCATGAGTCATTCAGGATAATGCTTTGTGGTTATGGTTTTGTGCTTGTTCTCATGTGTGTGTTCCTGTGTTGTGCTCAGAGCCTTACCACCTGATTTGACTTTTCTCAGATCCTCTTTGCCCTCACCTCTCTCTGTATTCAGCCTATCATTAGAGCTATACTTAGGCACACTTATCAGTTCTGTCGTTCCCTCGGTAAGACCACAGATGTTTACGGGCTTGGAGTGTATAGTAGCATGTAGACTCAGAGTTTCAGATACACTGACACCGGGTCAGAAATCGACAAGCACTTGAGGCAAACATTAGGAAATGCCCTTAGCATTAGAAAAAAAAAAAACCTGGCAACCCACTTTTTGCATGTTATGTCGTTCACATTTAACCTTCTTATTGATTTTCATTTGTCCGTGGGTTGACTGACCAGAACAGGTCAGATCCTCTGGAGTCTTTGACCAGGTTTTTAGTTTTAGAAAAATGTATCTGAAAATTATGCTCCCAGAAGTTTTAGAATGTTTGTGGCACATGTGGAGCTATACATACCTCAGCATCAATAATACATAAACAACTAATATGTTTAAAACCAGAGTGAATGTAATGAGAGATGGCCTCACTGAGGAAACAGTTGCCATATAATGCACATGTATTCTCTCTGAGTTCAGTTATACTGCACCTGAACAAAAACCACAGTGCTCCTAGAAATCACACCATGGGGACAGAAATTTCCTCTGACAACAAAAGTACATTTATTTCCCATTGGCAAAGTATCAATCTGCATAGGCTGTGATGCAGTGTGTGGAAAATTTTTGTAACAGCTATGTTAAATCAGATAATAAGTTACATGTGTTGGGGAGAGCCTGGGAGTGTGTTTGTCAGTGCCCTCCTGTGTGTTTACACAGGTGCCATGATGAACACAATGCACACTGGTAGCAGCAGATGTGTGACATTAGTGTCAGTAAATATTGAAAATCTTTGACTAATAGGCCTGTTTCACTGCAGATGTTTGGACTTGTGAAAAAGCACAGGTGTTACTAATAACATTAACAGTTCTATTCAAATGGCCCAGTAGGTCATGGCAGCACAGTAATATTATAATTTACACCTGTGCTTTCTTTTACTGTGACATGCCAAAATGTCTTCTGTGAAAAAGACCTGCTGTTGATAGCACTGTTGGTTTTCTACAAGAAAAATAATGGTTTTAATTATCTTTGAATATATTGATATTTGTTATATACTTTACTGTTCAACCCACGCAGTAATATGTCTTAGTTGAAAAATAAGTTTGTTCATATTCTAAAGCTGTTTGTACTTTCAGACCTCTTTACCAGACTGTGTGTGTGGGTATCGATGTTGCTTGATTAGCATCGTCCAGCTCTGCCCAGTATCTACCTGAGCAGGGGCCTAAGTGAAAACACCTGCCTGAGTTTGTTGGACGTTTATGTAAAAATGTATGAGGAAGAAGGATGATTTATATGCACACTGAGCAGATAAAGTTTAGCACTTGCTTCACAGTTTCATTTATTGCTGCCACAATGATGTTAGAACTGAATGCTACTTCCATATTGAGAGCAGAAGCGTGGCATATTCTGTATATGCCTCAGGTATCTGCACTTGCCAGCATGTCAGCTGTTATTCTGGCTCATATCTATTTATATAACACTTACAGTACATAATGCACTGTATGTCTCTGCTTCAGCCAGTCCCTCCATGTCCCATTAGCTTTAGGTAATGTACATCTATGGAGCATTAGGTTGCTCTCATTTAATCCTTTTAGTCTCATTCAATAGTCCTTCAAGGCTTTCAATTATGTGATATTATAAAGTTTTTATGTCCCTGGGATCAGGCATTGGACGTCTAATGTGCCGGAGACTGTGTGGTTAAGAATTATGTGGTTCACAGTTGTTTTCAGCTTATTTAGTTGAGCTGTTCTCAGTCACCAAGTGTGACCATGTGCAATTCATGTGCATCTGTTCAAAATGAGTGGGGCTGTTCTCAGACATGGTGGTTTGTGTCAACAGAAAACCTCTGTTAATAAAAGGTGTCTGAGTGTGTTTGTACTCATATTACTCTACCAGTTTCATTTGGCATGTTGCCTCTTTTTGGTACAGAATAGGCCACAATGGCACCTCTAAACTTTCACTCAGTACGTACACAGTATTATTTTACAGTACATAGGGTATTTTGTGACACAAGCTCCGGGGTTTATGACTGAGGAGTTGTGAGACTCTAGTGCCATTTGACTCTTCTCCGGTGTCCTGGTAAAAACAAATGCTGTTTCAAATGTCTGTGTCTGCAGTCACTTGCACAGACATGAAGCTCATATTTAAATACTGTATTTGCATGGCAGGCTCAACTGCATCATCATCTAACACCACCACATAATGGATTTGATGTGAGGGTGGCTTGGTCTCGCTGGTCTCATGTTAGACAGTTTGGTAATGACTGTACAAAATGTGTTGCCCAAGGAAATAGTGGTGTTTGGGGAAAGCTTTTGTTTAGAGAGAGAGAGAGAGCATGATAGAGTGAGTGGAATCGAAAGAGGAACAGGAAAACAGGGAAGCTGAGCAGAAAGGAAGGTGACCTAATAGGTCCACTTGGAACATGATCCATTAAAAGCTTACTGTTTAAACTGTGCTTCTTATTCAGGTGGTGGTGATAAGTGGTCATGACTCCAAGTCAGCACAGGCTACATAAAAACAGATTATTTATATATGTGATCCGCTGTAGTAGTTGTTACCATAAATCTCATTGTAAATTTATGATGACAATAAAGGGCTTTGATTTGATTTCACAATAAACAGCAATATAGGCAGATAAGATGGAGATGAACTCACGTCAGCGTGGAGAGAAGCTGCTGTTACAGTGATGTCACGCCAGGCTTTGGTGATGCAATGGCTGAAACTGCCATGAACTCTGCATGTGACCCTGAGATCTGCTGTGAAAATATTGTGTGTGTGTGTGTGTGTGTGTGTGTGTGTGGATTTGTTTGAGTCATGCTCGTTTCATTCATTGAGTCGTGTTCATGTTCTCATCAAGCGGTTGTGTTCATTAAAGCTTTGTGCAGACTGTTTTCACATCATGTCATCACACAGAGACTTAACTGTGCAGTCTTAATAACCTAACAACTCATAGCATAAGCTTCTACTTTACAGATCTTAGAGTGATGTCTTCACATTAGTTATTTTCTCTAAACAATATGCAAACAAAAAGTTGCAACTCTTCACATTCAGAATCAATTTACTTTATGCATTGTTGTTTGATAAATGCTAGCAAGGCTAAAATGGTTTTACATATGAATTTCATATGGATTAAGCAGTGATTTCATTCTTATACACAGAATGGAATGTTTCCTGTCTTTCTGCCCCTTCATTACAAAAAAATCTTATATTGATTAAAATGTTAATATGAAGTTGCAGTTCTATAAATGTCCTTTTAACTAGAACTGATTTTATTAGGCTGAAAAGGTTGGCCCTCTTATTATGGGTAATGTTACTCCACTACTATAGCTAAAGTAATTAATCAACAAATTATCATTACATTCTTTTAGAAATCAGGGGTAAATGCTGTACCACAGATTCTCAGACATCAGTTTAGGTGAACCACGTTCATGCTCAAAACCCTTATTACTGATTTTCTGACTAAATTAGTACAATGCTGGCAGAAACTGTATCCCCCTTGTGTGATCAATCAATAATTCAATGTCCTGTGATCTGGGTAAAGTTCAAAAGGAGAAGTAAGCCTCAGGCTGCTGTCTGTCCACACCTACATAAACGGCTCTGATGACTTTGCTGACAGGGATTGACACCTCCGCTGTGACCTTGTGATACTTATCAGCCTTTCTAGCCCTTGTGACTGATCAGAGGTGAGATTTAAATGAAGCTGTCCTATGTACTGCAGCCTTGTCACGATGTGGTTCAAGTGAAGGTCATATATTTGAGAGGGATGAGACAGAGACACTGGCAGGTGAAGCGAATAACATTGATTATCTTGTTACGTTGGCACCTGTCAAGGTCCTTGAAATTGATGGATTGGGAGCAAGAAAAATGGGCAAGTGAAACAATCTGAGTGACTCTGACAAAGGCCAGGTTGGTAGGCTTGACAAGTAGGTCGGAAGCAGCCCGTCCTGTGGGGTGTTCTTGGTCTACACTGGTCCCTACCTACCAAGAGTGGTCCAAGGAAGGAATGTTACTTTGACACGTACCACTTACCTAAACACTGCTGCTGACCAAGAATCCCCCTTCATGGCAATAGTGTTCCCTGATGACAGTGGCCTCTTTCATGAGGGTTAACGCACCCTGCTACACTGCAAGCATGGTTCAGGATTGGTTTGTGGAGCATGGCAAATAGTTCGGTGTTATCTTGGTTTCCAAATTCCTCAGATTTTAATCTGATTGAGCATTTTACAGCAGGAGTGGCAGGCTCCACCTCACAACTTACAGGACTTGAAAGATCTGCTGCTGACATCTTGACATCTTGGTGTCAGATACCTTCAGAAGTCTTGTGGACTTCATGCCTTGATATGTCAGAGCTGTTTTGGCAGCACAAGGGGTTGAGACTGTTGACACGTGGGCTGCAATCAATGTGAAAATACTTGTGTACAATAAGTCCTACTGTGATGTCTGCTGCTCAGCATCACGTGTCAGAAAGAGCTCTTATGGATGAGTCAGGGCAGATGAAGGATATTTGTGTTGTGACTTATTTAGGTTCACACTTTCTTTCTGTTTCTCTCCTAAATTAATCTAACACTGCATTCAAAATGTTGTCAGTAATTAGCCCTGAAAACCATCTA